TTTACTAGATGTCGAAACCAATGACTGGAATGTAGAGAAGGTCAACCTGATCTTTCCTTTTAATGCAGAAGCGATTCTATGTATAAAGCCTAGTACTCTTGGAGCCCCCGATAAACTTTTCTGGATTCATACCAAGGATGGAGAGTACACAACAAAGTCGGGCTATGCCGCGGCTGTTGCTTTCAGAACCGAACATGAAGGGGATGCTCAACACCCAAACAACATCAATTGGAACAAAGGAGTATGGAATCTAAAGACTGCTCCTAAGGTTCAACTTTTAGTGTGGAAGGCCCTTCGAGGCGCACTCCCTGTGGGAGAACAACTTCTCAAACGACAGATTCAAATCGACCCAATGTGCAAAAGATGCGGTGAGCTTGAATCTATTAATCATCTTTTATTTCAATGTGAGTTTGCGGAAAGAGTTTGGAGAGAAACCCCTTTCGCAAGGAGAGTTGACAGAAGAGGATTACTAGATTTGGAAACTGATTGGCTACGACTAATAGAGACTCCATGCCTACCTCCAGTGGGTATAGTTACCGGTCAACTAGCGCCATGGATTGTCTGGGCTATTTGGACAGCCCGAAATAACTTGATTTTCAACAACAAAATCTGTTCTCCAGTGGATGTGGTCACAAGGGCAGTTGCTGCAGCAAGAGAATGGTTAAACGCACAAAGTAAGGATCCTATAAAGCCACCCTTGTCTCGTAGCTCCCTGATTGTGCCCCCCCACACCACTGTGGTGCAAACAGATGCCGCCTGGAGCGGAATGTCAAAGAATGCAGGTTTAGGCTGGCTGATAAGGAAAACAGGGGAATGCCTTCGTTTTCATGGAGCGACCGAGCTCGTTAGCTCTCCGCTAGTTGCGGAAGGTCTAGCAATGCGGAAAGCAGTATCAAAGTGTAAGGAGCTGGGGATCCAGCAAGTTGTCTTCGAATCGGATTCGGCGCAACTCATCAAAGCTTTAAACTCATTGGTGGAACCCCCTGAGATTTATGGTATCGTAGCAGACATTAGAATTGACTGTATGTCTTTTGTATCTTCTTCCTTTTGTTGGATCCCTCGGAGCAGAAATGCTGAGGCTGATCGTTTGGCAAAGCAGGCTTTATGCCTTGTAACTGGTGGTGTATCCACTTAACTCTTCGGTTTAATGAATATTTGTGTTCCAAAAAAAAAAAAAATCTCCGAGTAACAAAACAATTGACTTAGTTTTTGGTATTCGCTATATACACACTTAACTCTAAACCTATGAATCCAAAAGGTTAAATAAGACCTCTATATTAGCTTTTTAATCAAACTGAACCCGGTTTGTTCGATAAGAGAAAAATCCAACAAATTTCATCATGTATACTAATTAATAACAACTTGGTCAACTTTTACAACACTTGCCTTGTTGAGTTGTTTGCTAATTGCTATGATGTTCATGTATTGTATTCAGATATGTATTATCACAAGTTGGCGTCATCATGTTGACAAAAAAGATTGAATACATTGAAAGAGAGGAAACCGTTCGAGTACATGCATTGTAGTACACTAGTACAAACCATATCTTTTCGTTTGATGTTGACAAAGCATTGGAAGATCGAGTTCTTTGAATTTCTATATAAATTTTTAGATTGAAGGTATTAATGTATAAGCATTGATATATTAGAACTGGTTTAATTATAAACCATGTAACTGATACTAGTACGAGAAGTAAACCGAGAATACAACTACTACTATATATTGTAACTGACAACAAAACATTGTTATTAATTATTAATAAAGCATATAAGAATAAACATATATTTATCTCGTAAGGTTTTGAAGGTGAGGGCCAAAGACTGAATACATTGAAGGAATGCCAAAGACATGTCGAGTGCATGCATTGTTGACCAAACATAACATTACTATAATATTATTTTAGCTGGAGAAACACTAAAACATGACTGTTACAACATTATGTATTGTTTATTTAAAATAGTATCAAATGTTGAATGTCTCGTAACATGTTTTCTAATAATGTTATATATGAGGATAACATAGTCCAAATCCATGCTAATCTTATGTTTGACTAGTTCAAGCTTCAGTTTATGAATCAACTAAAAAATAAATATTGGTCGAATATGATATACTTTATACTCTTAATCATGGAGTGGTTTTTGGCTAATTTTTGTCCAAAACACTCATGGAGAACCAAACTGAACCGGTTTGTTCACTAATAGAAAAACCCAACAACTCTCCATCATGTATGCTAATAACAACTTAGTTAACAGATAAACAATTAGCTAGTTAATATATGTGCACATGACTCGTCCCAGCTTTTGTTTTGCTCTGAAAAAAACAGTTAGCTTGTTGCTTGTTATTTTTTCATGTAATTAGATATGTACATTATCACTAGTTGCATTATCATTGATTAACAAGTTATGAGAACAAAATAAAATTAAAATGCTGGTAAGGTTTAAAAGAAGGAAAAAAAATAATATATATTATTGTTTGAAAGCGACCAAATGATGGTTAAAGGTTGACAAAACATGATTGAATTCATTGAAGAAGACATTGTTTAGTACATGCATTGTAGGCAAACCATTTTTTGGTTTGTTGACAAAGCAGCGTTGGAAGGTTGAATTTCTATAGATTTGTAGATTAAAATTAAAGAAAAATAACATGACTGTAACACCTTTCTGACCACATTTTAAATTTGTTTAGGGAATATCTTTGACTCTATTCATTCATCTGTTGCAATTGTTATATGGCAAATGAATGTTCAATGTTTTTCAGCACTTGCCCTGTGCATTGTTTTTTGTTTCTCATTCATCGTACCTGATTTTGTTACGTGATCATTCCAAAGTGAGATCGTGTTCATATATAGTATTCATACATGCATGGATACGTATTATGATATCCAAGCGAGGAAACCAAGGATGATGCTGAGAATGACGTACACGACAATGAACAAAGTCATTTTTATAATAGCCAAAACATTTAACAATTTGAAGAGAATTAACTTTCTAGCCAACTATACCAATAATTGATTTTGGTCAGATTCTTAAGAATCGGTAGGATACATGATACACGATACGACCCAAGAAGCCATAATTCACATATTATTTTCTATCAAAACATATTCAAATACTCAATGTCCTAATAAAAATGTCAATTTCCCTAATTATCTCTTATTCTATATCATCGACCTGCTTACTTAGAATAGACGGGAATGAGCCACGTACATTAGTTTCATTATTATACAATCCTGAGTATTACTAACCAAGTATTAACGCAGACCAAAAAAACATCTTTTGATGATTACACAAACAAGAAGAAAGAGGAAATGAAGTTTCCATAAGTTGCAAATCAATAATACATGCCCTCTTGCTCTCATAGACCTTTGGTTAATATTGTTTTGTACTCATCATCAACTGTATAGAGTGAGAACGTTATATGTTAAGAGAACTTGAATAGAGTTCTTTGGGCTCATTATATTCAAATGAGTAGACACTGAAATCATATCCGCTATGACATGATGAAACGTATTTTTCATTGTGCCTTGTTTTCTGCAAGCCCAAATAAAAATTAACCCTCCAAGTTTTCCCTTCCATTAAGGTTAGACGCAAAAACTTCTCACTCGTTTTTTCTCGTACGTCTACATCTAGAATGTCTTCATCATAAGGATATCAAAAACCGAATTACAATACTTTCTCTATACTAAAAGATATTTGCTGCATCAATTATTCTTCCAATAACATAACCATTCTCAAATTTTACCAAATTATTCAGTAAGGAGAGTTAATTGAAAAGTTGATTTTATACAGAAACATTGATTTTCCTCTTTAAAACTTATATATATTCTCAAATTTAAGGAATTGTAAAATTACATCTACTACGTCTAGTGACTGTCTCAGTTTATGTTCAGGTTTTTCTTACATCCTTAAATATTTACTTCTTGATAGTATCACATAACTGGAACATTTGGCATAGGTTGGTGAATTCATTTATTTAAGCCTAAGGTTTAAATAGTTTGCTGACGTCTTCTTTAGGTTTGTAACATTGAATGCACAACTCACACCTAATTCTCCAAATATCGGTGGATGTTACCGCGCGACTCACCGACAATTCTTTAGTTTTCTTTATTAACGACTAATAAAATCTAATTTGATTAATGTACTAGCTAGTCTACTACATATATAAGGACATCATAACATTTTTAGGACTCCTAGTTAATTCGAGGGAAACAGGTGTGATTTTCACTATCTTAAAAAACAATAGAATTAATCTCATGCATTGTTTTAGGATTAATTTAGGTTTATAAATGGAAAGGCATATTTGAATAACAGAATACACATGAGACGTCATTATCAAAGAGTTGAAAGTGTCTGTTAGAGAAATTATACTAATTACTCTGATGTGCATTTGGCTGTAAACAATGCCCTTTTCAGTCTCTGGCTTAATTTAAGAAAAAAAAAAGAACACAAGCATATGTTCTTTACTTTTAACATTTAGACCAAAAGTATATATTTTATCATGTCATATACTAATAGATATTTCTTTTAAATTACTACAAGTTTTTGTATTTATAAATCCATTTCTAAATCGAGAACAAAACCATGTAATTCACCTAAATTTTGGAGAATGCATGGTTTTTTTTTTTTTCTGAACTTGTGACTTTTTAGATTTTTACTAAGTAATCTAATAACCACTCTACGTTGGTAGAACTATTCAATCTTTTTTTCCAATACTTATTTATTTTCACATCAAGCATGATAACTTAGAGTAGAGTAGATTTGAATTCCAAAACATAGTACTATTATTACCCCCCCATGGCACGGGATGGAGAGAGAGAGAGAGAGGGGACAATAAACACCACAAAATTAAGTAGAGAGGACGTGCAAAAAAGCAGAGAGTTAAGTGAGTAGTTGAAGATAGAGAGGTCAAAAAAGAAGAATATCTTTCTCTAACTCTCTCCTACTCTTTTCCTGAGTTCATGTCAGAAAAAACAAAGAGAAACTAAGAACCCTAACATCCAAATGGTACATTCGAAGAAGTTCCGAGGTGTCCGCCAGCGTCAATGGGGTTCTTGGGTCTCTGAGATTCGTCATCCTCTCCTGTCAGTTCTCTCTTCCTCTCAAACAAAAACATTCACATAAAAGCTGTATATAGACTATAGACTATAGTGTATCCATATATTTTTGTTGTTGTTACAAATTTTTGTATCATTCAAAAATTATCCCTGAATTCATACATCCACATATTTAATTTTGGTTCAATCTTTCAAAGAGTCATGTGTTCTCTTTAAGATCTTTTCCTCAGTATCATGCAATTAAGGAGACCACATTCACTAATGTTTAGAATGTGTACAGTACAAGAAACCGATCTTTTTCATATTGGTGTAATGTTACATTTTCGTGTGTTGGTGTGTTTTGTAATTTTTGTTTACACGTGTATGTGTGATCAGGAAGAGAAGAGTGTGGCTAGGAACATTCAACACGGCAGAAGAAGCGGCTAGAGCCTACGACCAAGCCGCTATTCTAATGAACGGCCAAAACGCAAAGACCAACTTTCCCGTCATCAAATCCAACGGCTCAGTTTCTCCCGACGTTAACTCTCATCAGTTATCGGAACTCCTAAACGCTAAGCTAAGGAAGAACTGTAAAGACCAGACACCTTATCTCACGTGTCTCCGCTTAGACAACGACAGCTCGCACATTGGCGTCTGGCAGAAACGCGCCGGGTCGACAACAAGCCAAAACTGGGTCAAGCTTGTTGAGCTCGGCGACGGTGTCAACGCAAGTGCCGGTGATATTGGGATTAATAAGATGAAGAAAGGTATCAATGAAGTTGAGGAAGAAGATCACGTGGCAATGCAGATGATAGAGGAGCTTCTTAATTGGACATGTCCTGCTTCTGCATCTATTTCAGGTCTTAATTAGATAAATATAGCAAAAAAAGAGGGAAAATAATTTCAGTTAAATACTTTACGAGTGTATGATAACCTATATATCGAAATAAGTACACATCTACGTATTTAGGGTCGAATCTTACGTAACCATTTGTTCATAATATATCAAATATATATGTGATATAAGTTTGTCTGCATGTATTCTGTATACGTTATATAAGTAAACATTTTTATTTATTTTAAAGAGTTGATCATATGATCAAGCTGAATTATCGTCGACATGTGATATCATTATTACATAGAGGAGAAGGACTAGACATGATAAGAAGGTACAAATTAAAGTAAAGATAATTAATTGGTTAGCTGAAGAAGAGTGAAAGCTACATGTGAAAGAGACTAGTCACTTAATTTAAACCTACCTTTGGAATAGTTTATTGTGATTGGAATGTTAAATATACATTTCTAATAGGCTTTATCTAATGTTGAAGAAAAAGCTAGGTGGTAACTTGGAGTTTTATAAACGTCTAGCAATTAATCAAATTATTCAGAGTCTAGGAGGGGACTAACCGTTAATGAATTATTTATTTATTAGGTATTTTAATTTTTAGGTTATATAAATTATTTGATGAATTTTTAAAGTTAGAATACAAAACCGAAACTAGACAAATTGTGAACTTTACTTTGTTACTTGATTAAGCCGTTTTACAAGTACATAATATAAGTGACTAATAAGATCGCGAGCCCCTCCCATAAAGTGTCTATTATGATAATTTAAGTTTTAAGTGTTGGAACAATTCTTTAACTGTAAACATTTTATGATATGATTTACCGAAAAAATAATTCAGAGATTTTATTCTTGGCCCTGTGAGTTACCATTGATAGTCAAAACTCAATACATCTTAAACTTTTTCTTATGAAATGTAGAATTGTAGTTTCAGAACAGGCACAACAGTCAAATCCTGACATGACTTTGTACTGAATCTTGCAATAGCTTGAACTACTTTCTTTGTTAAGGAGGCTGGAAATATATAAAAAAATTATTACTATCTCAATGTCAAATTTATGTTTGGTTATTTAACATGATTACCAAAACAAATTATGTTTGATTTTATAATTTTCACATGAGATGGCATTGCCTTGAAGCAAAACTTACATAAAAAAAAAACTATTCCACAATTGAAGAGACCAAAAGTGATGTCTGAAACAAGGATTGGTCACCTGATGCTGAAGCCAGAGAGATGTGCTGACTTGGTTGTGTTTTTTTGTCACATCAGGAGAACTCAAAGCCTGGTTTCATCTTGAGAATAGTATGGTAACACGTTCAGGAGATATTAGTGTCGCCACTCTTTTAAACTATTAACAGAATGTAACCAAACTCATTGTCAGTTTTTGCTAATCTCTTAAACACTCGGAGATATGAACCAACGAAAACATACCTTTTCTTGGTTATATTTGTTCCTTACAGCAACAAGGGTGCTTCCACTAGTGTTGAGCTGCAAATCCTCCATTGCAAGTACTGTGTCCTTAAGAGCAGACGTTACATATCTAGTATAGTGCTGTAGAGTTGGGTTCTGTAAGCAATAACATTCACATAAGCAACATTATCTTCCCTCTAAAGAACAAAGTAAAAGCATGTGAGCTCACCCAAGGATGCTTAGATTGGTCTAGTGTCCATCTTGCTAAAAAAACAGCCGAGGCAGCAATTAAAGACGGCAAGAACCTTAGAAAACTATATTCAACAAGAGTCAATTCTGCAAGATAGTTTGCTAATGACTCCATCTCAATTTGTGGAATCTTGTCAGAAACTTGAGCTGCTTGAATAAACCGCCTGAAACGTTAGAAGACAAAAATGACTTTATATTAACATACTATTTTAGATTGAAAGTAAATGAAGCGTTTTAGTGTTGTAACCTGAGAAACGTTTTGGTGGTTGGAACTGATAACCGAAAGTGAAGGAAGTTTAAAACTTGAGTCTCCATGTCCACTACTTCAAGTCTTGTGTATGTATTGTCAGTAATGAAGCAAAACTCTTCTAACCTTGGTGCACATATCTCTTCATACTTTCTTTAAAGACTCAACAAAAAGGACTTAGTTAATCCACTTGTGCTGACATTTTAATACTAATTGCAATGTGAATGTTAGAAGTTGGAAACTCACGAGGCTATTAACATGCAAGTGACACCAAGAAGCTGGAGCCTCCGTTTTTCAATGTAATTGTTGGACAAGAACCGATCAATTAGATTCACTGTAAGGTAAAGTGTATCTGAAGCCAGCTTATACTCTTCAGAAACCTGCAAGAAGTAGCATTAACAGAAGTAGTAATACACTTTCAAGTAATAGTATATTAAGATTTGTTTAATACCTCCACAAGCCAATCAATAAGAATCCCACGCATACTTGGACTGATATCTTTTTGTATTTGCACCATATAGCTAGTTGAAGGTCTTTGATCAAGCTTTACCAACAAAAAAAAACAAAAAACAAAATCTCAGTATGTTTAACATCTAGTGGAAAGATAGAATAAGATTATTGAGTTCAAAAACCTCTGCAACATGAAAACTGTCATACATATTTGCAGCATATAAGCTACAAAACCGAGGATCTTGAGCACTAGAATCAATATCTATAAACTTAAGACAGCCTCTGACATCATAACCGTCTTCTTCTGCAAAATCCAGAGTAAATTTGAGAAACATACAGTTTGGAATATGCTTCATTTAACATGTGATTCTCTTATAGGTTTTGAAATATGATATATGGTTATTATATTTTTTCAGTATTTTTGAAAATTTTAGTTCAGTTCCTTACTTTGATCTCCATCTTTGGAGTTTGTAGCAGATTCAACCATCCTAATCTTTGACAAATCTTCTGCTAGTTTCGATTTTTCGACATCCACATCTTGGTCTCTCTTGCTAATCTGTCACGTTATATTGTTAATAATCAAGAACGCAATTCTTGGATGATTATCATTTATATACGTATCACATTACTATATCAATAAGAAGGTGCTTATAAGGAATCGTTACCTTAACATTGTTCCCATCCAAACAGGCCAAAGTGTTAGTCACATCCTTGAGCACCACACGTCTCTTATTCTGACAAATTTTTATAACATCTGATGCCATTCGTTTTTTAAGCTTTGGTTCATCTTTAAAAATGGGGTTTGATGGAGATATCAACGCTCCTATGGCCTTAGCACGTGATCTCGTGACTCTCACATTCTCTTGTCCAGGTTTTGTGTTAGAGATTATTTCTTTGGTAGCTTTAGGTTGCCTTGAAGAAACTCTATTCATGATTTTTAATATTGGAAAAAATCTCCACAGGTTTGCCAAGCCTGCAGAACATAAAACATAAATTAAAAAAAAAAAGTTAAATTGAGAAATTAGATTATTAGAGACAATCATATGGAACAAAAAACTATTGATCATTGTTGTCTTAACCATACTACGCAAATAACAAGAAGAAAAGAAAACATAGATCACTATATGAAAACATAGATCAATAACATGAAACAGAACACTCTAACAGATCTATAAACTTCAGACAACGTGGAGAAGTGTGATGATACCTTAAGATTATGAAGAGATGGTCTGCCAATCTGAGAAGGGTTGTTGTTGAAATAGGTGGAGGAGGAAGAGGAGCGGGATTGTGTGATCTTGTTCGAATTATCTACCAGTAAAAAAAAACTTTTAAGTGAAATAATAAAGAAGAAATATAAAAGAATTGGAAAAGAAAACTAACGATTTGAACAGTTGTCAGATTATTTTGAGAGTGTCAGAGTGATATCTGACACTTTGACGACTGGTCCGTTTCAGTAAATTCCCTTTTTGATTTGAAGTTAATAAAATAATTAGCCGTTACGCGCCTATTTTTCCGCGTCTGTTCTCCATACCGTTTTTAAAAACCCTAAGAACCCACTGGGCCTATGAAATTAAACCAACAACTTTCTACTCTCTAATGAAACCTGTAATCTATGTTTTGTTTTTGTTCAAAGCCCAATCTATGTTCTCCAAATTTACACAAATGTGTGTTTTAAGCTAATAGAAATAAAAATATTTTTTATATCATAGATTTGTTTTTTTTTTTTTTTTTAAATAAACACGTTTATTTTCTTTGAACTGAAATTGTTGAGCTTACTAGGGTTTCTAAATTGAGTCTAACTTAACTATGTTTGGAACATTGTTTAGTAATAATCGAAGTAATTATTTTAGCATATAAAAATTGAAGCAGTGACAAAAAAAAAAAAATTGAAGATAAATATGTAACCAGCAGAAGTTATGTAAAAAAAAAACTAACCAGCTAAATAAAGTGTTAAGAAAATATAGCAACCGCTATAATATTCTAGGTAGACATTAAGAGAGAATTAATAATGTAACATTTTGAAGGGTAAAAGATTAGGAAGAAATTTATTTGTGAAGGTTTTAGTGAGAAGGGAAGAATTTGTTGAGGCAGCAAGGTAGACCATAAAACTCATCGTTTCGGACATCAAGATTGTATAGTCGAAACTTCTCCCACCATTTTAGCCCACAATCTTTCTTGGCTTCATCACTCTCACGAGACAATGTGCAATCAAGCACTATTGCAATTATTCCCGCGACCGTTGTATGTGACATGAATATCACTCTTATCACATCTTCCAACTGTTTCGTATATAATCCAAGAAAAGCACAACTTGATAAGTATGTTTTGATTCTTTTGACAAAGTATATAAGAAAATGTACTGACCCAGTTCGAGTGATGATCAGACCGCCAGCCTCCATTGTAATATTCTCTATAGTATTGAGGGATTGAAATAGCCATGAAAAATGAAAATCCCAAAATGAATTTGGTGTTGAAGCTGTTGAGGTTGCAAAACTGTAGAAAGCTAATGCCCGCAGAAGCTACATTGCATTGAATTTGATTTTATTTTTCAGTGAAAACACAAAGCATATTATTGTATGAAATTTAATGTAACTACAAGTGTGATGTGATGAAAAGACTTACACACAAAACACAAGACGATGCAGTAAACGGACGCCATGATTGGTAATGGTATGGACGCAAAAAATGCTCCAAATTTTCCTGCATTTAATTTTGATAAAAAATATAAATTCGAAACTAAACGGGAAAATATCAAGAAAATATAGCTTAGAAAAATACCGAAAATGGAGAAAAAAATCATGAAGGCAGCTGAGATTTGTATCACTCTTCGACTCCCAATCTTAGTCATTGCCAAAAGTCCAACATTTTCTCTGAATAATAACGTTAACTATATCATAAGTTACGAGAATTAATATATAAGAAATTAATAAATGCTCAAGAAATAAAAAGTTACTCTATTTTGTAAATGAGGTTGGTTACGTAACTTACGTTGATGTTGTGATCCCTGAGACGCCTCCAAGCATACCGTTGAGTAATACTCCAACTCCCTACAAGATATTCATTCAAGTATTTTCAAGATAATGAAAAATAAATAGCTAATAAACGGTTAAGAAAATGCAACTAATGAAGTTGTTCTTAGACTAACCAGCCAGCCAGTACCACGGCTAATAACTGATGGTGGGATCGGTGTAGCACTTCCATATCTTGCAGATGCGTAGAACAAACCCGTGGACTGCATTAATAATATATAACACTTGCACTGTTCATTATCATAGTAAATTAAAAATTCATTATTCAATACTAAGGTTTCAAATTATCAATTTCACATAGAAAACGAAATATTACCTCAAAGAGAGTGACAAAAGAGGCAGCCATCATCGCGAAAGAATCAGTAAAGTGGAAGGTTGGGCTTCCCCATTGGAAAGGATATGGTAAGTATATCCTATTGTAATTCACATAAAGAGAATATAGGAACAATAAAAAGTTGAATAACTAAATAGTGAAATCGCCAAAGATAAAACATTCAAGTAGGACTGACCAAGGAGTGTTGGTGATGAGACCATTACGGTCTGTACGGCAACTCATTTGAGTAGTTAAAGACTTATGGTTATATACACCACTTGATGTGAGTAGCAGAGCTAACAACCAAACTAATGGAATGCATATCATCATCCCATAACGCTCACATCTTGATCCATCCCAAATCAACCCTTTCTTCATCTTCAGAAAGCGCGGTAAGTACTACAACCCACAGAGAACAAAATGGACGTATTAATTTTTTGTAGGTGGACTTATCTATATACGAAATGATCTATATATATATTTTGTTTTATATACTCATTTGTAATAGTTTGATGCGTTAGAGCTTTACCTGGGTGACTAAAACAAGTAAGATTAACCCGGGAAGTCCCACTTCAACGCATCTCGCCAACTAGAAAAGACAATATTGTAAATTATAAAGGTAATATTATAATATTCAATAATCAACAAAATGAGTTTATATAAACATACCAAAGGGAAACCGATTTGGTAGAGTCCTAATCCGGCAAACGTTGCCAAAGGAGCAATTGAGAGTGGGCTTAGAAATCTAATGATCACACAAACAAAAAACAAAATCTTGCTTAGTGTCTGATGAGTCCCAAATCTAGTAAAGAAAGATAATATTAGTTAGTTTACCTGACAACATTTCTCCATAGGCCTAAGAAACATACAAGAACTTGGAAACAGCCGGAGATAATCAGAGCCCCTTGTATGCTTCTCATTGTTTCCACAAACCTCTGATTAAATTATATGATTAGACCTTTTTATTAGTGAAATTTAGTTTGACTAATGTTTATACTTACTTCAAAAGGATCAGTGTAGTAAGTGAAGCGGGTTGAGGAAATGATGGAAGTGATAGGTATGATATAGGCATAAGAAGGAGCAGCTATGACAGACAATCGAGTTCCAAAGAAAGACTGGAACAATGTTGTTAATCCAGACACAAATAGCATTGTTTGTATAACTCTAGCCTTCTCTGCCTGAGAAACGTCATAATTCATTAAGAAGAAATTGTTAAGACATAAAAGTCTGAATAAATATAGAATTTATCTGAAAATTGAGTACCAAATTTTATGATTTTATAATTCTGTAAGTTACCATTAAAACCGAGCGTATATATGTAAACTACCACTCAAATAGCTTCATAATGTTTTTATTAAATCATGATTAAAAAATGTGTTTAAAAAAAATTCATGATTGAAAAATCAAAATTAAGAAGCCTAAATTATGTAGGCGTTGGGATTGGTTAATAATTGTGAAAATATATGTATAGAAGTTTTAGACATTTATAAAATTCATACCTTACGAAACGATGAATTATTTTTAAAACACACATAAAAATGAAGTTAGATCAAAACGTACATCACCACCTCCCATGTGTGGAACCAAAAGACTTGGAATAAGAACCATGATGCCAAGACTCAACAAATAATGCTGGAAACCCAACACTAACCCTTCAACTGTGCAACACCATGACAATATTAGTCACACGGAAAAGTTGATAAGCAAACTAAATTAGTAAAACGATTTTATTTTGTTAAAAACATACACCAAGGAGGAGGACTGTTGACACAATACTGAATACCAGGGAGTTGTTCCTTCACCGGGTGGGGCTGTAACTCCACCGTCCTATTGCCCCCTCCACTGTTGTTAGTGTTTCCGCCACCGCCGTTACCTCCTCCTCTGTTGTTATTGTTTCCCCCACCACCGTTGCCTCCACCAGTGTTGTTATTGTTTCCGCCACCACCGTTGCCCCCTCCATTTGCCATGGACGTGGTTAGCTTTTGTTATCTATATGCAAAGTAAACCAATCAATAAAAGGGTATAGAGCATTTTGTATCATTTGAAAGTCTGAATAATAGTGTAAATATTGTATCTACAGTAATATAACATGTTTATCAATTATATAAGCTTACTTTTAAAAAGGAGTCCACGTGAAGGAAGTCAACGAAGCTTTCTTTGTGTAGGAGGATCTAGTCGAAGGGTTGAGAGAATTTGAAAGAGATAGCCGAGAGGGTGTAGAGTGAATGAGAAGTCAAAAAGGTTTGGGTTAAAACTCTTTAACGTTTCATCAACGAATACTTCTAAACGAAATTAAATTTATAATTTAAATTGTTTGAATGACTATATTTTTATCAATTAATGTGGTAATAAAAGGATTGATAATGTCCGTTTTGGTACATAGAATTTGAAATACAAATCCGTTGAAATTCAATTGACCGTATAACATAACCAGAGATTTTGAAAACCCTTTCATTTGATTTGAAAAATAAAGTTATTTATTGACATATACACTCCATTCGTACATGTTTAATACAAATGTATATATGCATACATCGACTATGTTATAGTTGTCTTATAGCAAGTGGAAGTATATCTTTTTTTACCGTTTACAACTCTTAGTTAACTTATCTTCAAATCCTAGCTATCGCATTCAAATTATCCAGCACAAGTTGCATGGATGGTCGATTCTTCGGGTCTTCCTCAAGGCATTGTTTTATAACCTCGCACATGCGCATACCCCCTTCAAGAGGATAGCTATTTTCTAAATCCGGATCGATCATCTCAGCAATGATTTCATTGTCATTTCGTATTTCTAGGATTATGCGCCGTGTTCTTATACCAGTTAGCATCTCGAGCAGTATAGAACCAAAGCTGTACACATCGCCCGACATGTCCAACTTCCCTGTATTTAGTAAACTTTAAACTTCAATGGTTATTTGAAAACTTTGGGGAGGAGCAAGGGGAAAATTTGTTGCCTGATAATATGTATTCGGGAGGTGCGTAATCTAACGAGGGGACGTGTGTCCCTTCTTCATAATAAGGTAGGTTTTCGAGTCCGAAATAGGAAACTCTTGCATTGAACTCCTGCATACCCTCAAAGATATCATATATAAGGCATGTCTCATCATATTTTCTCAAATTATATGGTTGTTTCAACCATACCTTGCATGTTTTAGTATTTAATTTGAAAGCCTTTTTACAAAAAATATATATATATATATATATATATTAGGCCCAACTTGTGTTTGTATAAACTCTTTTAATTGACAGTAGAAGTTATGAGAGACGGTTTCCATCCAAAACGGCTAGAACTCAGTGATCAAATTCTCTGTATCAAAGAGTTAACCAATCTAACAATAAATAGTTCCTAACAAAAGAGAAAGCAAATCCATACCAAATCAAGTAAGATTTTAGAAGCGGTGAGATATCTGCGAGAGAGACTAGTTTTCTTCCAAGAATGCAAGAAAGCAAGACACTGAGCCACTCCTATGGATATGTTAAGTCGCGTCTTCCAGGGCAATGACCTTGGACGAGTCTCTGTGAGAGAATGTATCCGTCAACACAATCCTTCAAAGACAAAAATGAGATGAATGCATAAACTTTGGTTTAACCAGAGGCTTAACGTCTTTACCTCTGTAGATGTGATTTTCTAAGCTTCCGTTTGGAAAGTATTCAGCAACGATGAACAACCTACGACGATCCAAACCATAGCCAATGAGCTTCACCAAGCTTGGATGAGAACTACGTCGTAGAAACTCTAGGTCAATCTACAAATCTCAGTTAATATTCAGTTAGTATTATTAAGTTTTATATCATAAAAATAGTTTTTAAAAAATAAAAAAAATCTCCAACTAGCATTATCCAATCAATAGATATACTAATTTATCCAACATTCCTAACCTTAACTATAATTCCACCCCATATCCTAAACTATAATCACTAAACCCAAACAAAAAAACATAAAAAATACTAATTTATCCAACATTCCAAACCTTAACTATAATTCCACCCCATATCCTAAACTATAACCACTAAACCCAAATAAAAACATAAAAAAATGTACTTTTTACTTTTTAACAAGATCATTTTGATGATTTTCCTCTTTTTGTTTGCTAATTTTTAAATAAAAGCTTAATTTAATGCTATCTAAGAGTATTTTTCTATTTTTATCTCTTTCAAATACTTGATTATTTTGTTTGTCAATTATAAATAGATATTTATGGTAAACCTCACACTAAAAAAAATTTATAATTACTTACAAGCCAATCTTGCAAATCTTGATCAAGATCCTTAAACATGTAAAATCTCTTAACCGCAACGACCATGCCAACCCCTTCCTTGGCTGGAGATAACGTCTTGGGGTTGATGTATCCCCTCACCCTGACATGGCTGCCAAAGCGCTCTCCTCTTACCATCTCCTTACTAAAATCCTTAGTTGCTTTTTTCAGCTCCGCCACCGTGAAGACTTTCACACACTCTTCCGCTGTTTTTTGCGCACCATGTAGATAGTATCTAGAAATGGAAATAATATACTATACACATGTCAAATACGCTGAGATTCTTATATAATATACTTACCTGATATAGAATCAAGCTGCTTCGTGGAACATGAGAGACAGTTCCCCATTCGGATTATGACTTTGATGGAGAAGACGATTTACCTCTTAATGTATATTTCTTCTTAGATCTTTCGATAAAGACAACAAGTAAGCTGGTCTGTATTTTGATAAGTCAACGTAAACGCGTTGAAAAGGTACCGAGTGTGAGCCGCGTTTCTGACAAAGTCACTATTCTATTGTGAGATATAATACGACGCCGTTTTGTCAGTTGCTTGGCAGAGGCTATTATTATATAATAATGTTTTTGGAGTCAAATATTTTCTCCAAATATTCTATTCTATGTTTTTGGAGTCAAATATTTTCTCTGTTTCAATATGATACATATTTTAGATTTTTTTCACACATATTAATAAAATATATAATTAATGTATCATTTTTTATAATTATATTTTTTCACTAATTATAAACCAATAAAAATCTAATAAATACAATAAAGTTTTTTGGAATTTGTAACTGATCATTATTAGTTGCTAAAATATGCATTGAAGATATAAAATAAAAGGTATCTTTCTGAAACTATTTTTTTTTCTAAAACATTGAAACAAAAAGAGTATTTTTATGGTACAAGTGTAACCTGATATGCTACTTAAGCTATTGTATCACAGTTTCTCTTTTTCTTTTGTAACCTCATAAGGCTAAGGGGATTAAGAATAATAAGATAAAGCACGTAACATTTTTATCACATCTTAAAGGGAAGTTCATACCAAGCATCCTATTAATCAAAGAGTCAAAAGAAAGCTCTTTAAGTTTAACTAATAACATAAAGAGGTCAAATTAAGCAATATAGAATTAGTAGGAGGTTGGTAAACACTTAAGATTAGAAAGCTAACTCATGGAAATGAGAATAGAGAGGTCTCGGTCTCTTTCATTCATTGCCCAAATGGACTCTAACAGCAGTAACAACACCTCCTGTACGTTCAAGCTCACAGACCACACTGTCTCCTTGTTTCAGGTTGTACTTCTTACACAGAGCCGCCCAGTGGCTGAAACAAGGGTTACGACCGTAGATCTTAGTGAAAGCATCGTGTTTTTGGTCGCGGATGATGTAATACATGGGGGATTTATGGGGACCAAAGTTCAAGCCATACTTCTCAATCACCGGATGGCTCACATACTACTTGCACATACATGTAAAAACAGGGAGAAAACAAGTCTTAGTTTCATAGAAAACAAACATAACTGGAAATTTATGAGTGGATCATATCTAAGAAGCCTAGTCAGCAAGAAGAAAGTAAAAATGCTAATGTAATTACCAGAACATCGATCTTTTTAGTTAATGTCTTCACAAAGTAGGGATTGTTGGGGTTGAAGAGGTACTGCTCGGGGTTTTTGACATTTAGGACAGGAGCATAACCCTGTGTAGCTCCACTTGCTGAAATATCCGTACAAAAGATAAACAAAAAGAATCAAACATAGAGCAGATTAGCTTTGTTTCATTCTATATAAAAAAAAAAGTCTTACCAGAGGCAGCAGAGGAAGAGGCAGAAGCAAAGACAGGGGTTGTTTCCTCGTGAGAAGTCTGAGGCTTAGTGTTTAGAAGTTCAGATTCTTTAGGCTCAGCTTCAAGAGGTACCGAGACGATCTCTTTGAAGATGTGCAAATCTTGTTTATAGATTCGCACTTGAATAAACATTGTGTCTTCGTGTGTGAAGAACAACACATCCTTTGGACTTAACAAGTTGTCATCCACAAACTCATCCCAGTCTTCTTTTTCCATGACCAGACCACCGTTCTTGTCTTGCTGGAGCCAGAGTTGCCACGAATTTCCCCAAGAGACACTAAACACCACTCTGTGCTTAATAGCACCAAGCGTGCTTCTCAAAAACTCCTCAGGAATAATTCTCTTTGTAAAACCAGAAAGTTACACAACGACAAATAATACTGGCATTAGAAGAGAAAACTTAAAGAGTAAAAAGCAATTTCCAAAGCATAACACGTCATCAAATGTTTGGTTTGTAGATCAAGCAATGCAGAGAAAAGCTTAACAAAAGACTAAACTCAACACTAGCAGAAGCTTAAGCTAAAAGCGAATAAAATTTACAATCTCAAAGTAGCTTAAACAGCAGAACAAGAAGAAGCACAGCTTCTTGAAAGAGAGAAAGATGTGAGACAACACACAATAGTACAATACTAAAGTAAAATGTCCATAAAAGGGCTCAAAATAAAACATGGAAGGACTATTACATCTAGTAGTGTTCTAGCAACAAGTGAAAGCAGAGTAGCTCTGTTTTTTTTTTCCTGAGGAAACTGTGATTTACCATGGATTTAGATTTCCAAGTTTCTCCTAAAGACAAAGACTTGCAGAAGCGAGGCTTCCTCACATTTTCTTGAAGCATAGCAAAAACACTACTTGGTGGCGACATTATCTTGGTTTTTTTTTTTTTCCTTCAGCTTCAAAGCTAGATCTGTATCAAAAACTAGGGTTTGTAAAAGTGAAGTGAAGACGAAGATGACTTGTGTGCGTAACGTAAACAAAGCAACAGTACATTTCTGAAAAGAAAACATCTGGGGAAACCCTAGGTTGGAATTGGCGATAACAGTTTCTACTTTTGGACGGCAAAGAAAACATAAAAAATGCGTAAGACGCAAGTAATTGGTTAAAAAGTTAAACGCCAAGTGCACGCACCAGTCACAGTACAAGAAGCTTTACCTGCTGTTGCGGCTGCTCTGCTCTCTTAAAGTGTGACTGAAGACAGAGAAAGAGATAAACGCATCAAAAGCACAATGATCAACCACACTGTTACTTTGACTCGTACTAAACAATTTTTACAGCATTGTTACTGGGCAGAACAAAGCCCATTTTAAAGCTGGGCCATAATAATAGTGTAAAAAGCACACATTTAACGTAAGCAATAAAACGTAGCTTATCTTCTGTCTAATACCAGATGACACAGAAACAAATTAATGGTTACAAAATTACAAAACACAGTGTTGGGTCAAAAAGGCGTTCATGAGCTAATTACTAATATCATTGTGTTCGTTAACTCATTCATAATTGGAGAAGAAGAAGCTTATGATCGATCCTTGGGGTGTCTTAATTGTTTTGTCTATGTCGATTCCTGAGAAAAATGATGGCATATTTATTACCAAAGCCCATATAGAGGTTGTGCCTTTATTTAGTCTTTTTGGTTCGAGTCCATATCTAATGCTTGTCAGTTGTTGAAGTGGATGTTGCATACAGCTGGCGGGTTTATCCTGTCCCAGTATTATGGGAGCAGAGCATGTGTCTAACCACCTGGAGACTTTAAAAGCAGGTCCATACACTCTTGGAGATTAAAATTTGATTGATCCCATGATATAAAGTATAAACATTAACAATATTTTCAGTTGACTCGCATGATTAGTGGATACTTCGCTTATTTCTTAGAACATTAGAAAATAGAAACCACTGCAACATAACAATCCATAAGTCACAACAGCAAGCAATAGGTGCAGGATAAAATAGCTTAATAATGGCCAAAAGAGCAGAGGCTCATATGATTCATAGCTTTTGTCCAACCCTCAACACCCAAACCGAAAGTCAAGTCTATACATTGCACTCTCTCTTTCCACAGAGAAACAAAGTGTTGTGGACAATATAGAAAAAGAGATCTCTCCTAAGAAAACCATATCAAGAAATTTAAAAACTTCACATTTGAGAGACTCATCAAATCAGGAGGAGGATACAGGAGCGTTGTTGGATGTTGATGATGATGATGCACTTGCTTCATTACTTACACTCTTTTGTTTTGGAGGAGCTGAAGAAGTTGAGGGCTCGATGGTTTCAGGTACATCACCAATGTCGAGTGTGTCTGGGAGGAATTCATCAGCTTCATTACTGTAAATCTGCAGGATAAAACACCAATGTAATGTTAAACACACACGCAAAAGCTTACAATCTACACTAGTGGAATAAGTTTTACCCCGAGTTCGTTGATCATTTCGATAGTAGCATCAAGATCACCATTGTTGGCCAAGTAAACATCACGGATAGACTCATCTGACAAACCAGGGAAACTAGCCAAAAGATACTCCATCTCCATATCCATTTCCAAATCATCATTCCTCACGTGAGACCCTGAAGAACCATAGGGTTGGTGGTGGTGCTGCACGTGATGTGAGGCAGCAGCAGCAGCAGCAGCAACAGGCTTTGAAGAATCACCTTCTCTTTTGGAGAGTGGTACGTAAGCTGCTGCGTTCGGATTCAATCCTGATCCTCCTCCTGGCTTCATTGCTTACTAAAACAAAGAACAGAGCAAATTAATTATTAGATTCAAATTGCTAGCAATACGTTCTCGATTACATAAGCTTATCACAATGATTCTGCAATATCAACGCAAGCAACACATTCTTGATTACACAAAGCTTATCACAAGGATTCAAATCTGAAGCACAATCAAAATTAAATTTCACAAAGAGATCATCATCGTCACAGAAGATATAGAGTCGCTAGGTGAGAGTCTAATCTACACATGGATTCCCCGAAGCAACAAAGGAAACCTAAACGGAGTAAGATAACATGAACATACTAACGCGCTTCTTGCTATGATTGATCGAACGCGATTCTAGCTATCAACATGAATCATAGATCGCACGAATCAAAACAGAAACTCCGATACCAAAACAAAGAACAGAGCAAACTAATTACTGGATTAAGGATTTTTCTGCAATATCATTCAACGCAAGCAACACATTCTTGATTACACAAAGCTGATTCAAATCTGAAGCACAATCAAAATTAAAATCACAAAGATATCATCATAGTCACAGAGTCGTTAGGTGAGAATATGATAAGCTTCTACTGTTTCATCGTAACGTCTTACTGCATCGACACTAATCTCTACACATGGATTCCTCGAAGCAAAAATCAAGAGCAATAAGGAAACACAAGAGCAATTATTCGATTAATACATTCTCGATTACACAAGCTTATCACAATGATTCGAATCTGAAGCACAATCAAAAATCAAACTCACAAAGAGATCATCATCGTTACAGAAGATATAGAGTCGCTGAGTGAACTAATCACGATCGATCGAACGCGATTCTTGCTATCAACATGAACGTACATCGCAGGAATCAAAACAGAAACTAAAAAAATATCTTCAGAGAATATGATTTCAGCATCTATTGTTTCATCGTAACGTCTTAGGCATCGAACACTAATCTCTACACATGGATTCCCCGAAGCAAATCAAGAACAATAAGGAAACCTAACGGATATAGATAACAAATCTCTATACTATCTTAGCCTCTAAGCGATGATCGATCGAACGCGATTCTAGCTATCAACACGAACATAGATCGCAGGAATCTGAAAAAATATCTTCAGAG